TTATCACTGAAGAGTTCCTGTTCGGGGTGTGGAAGAGAAAAAATCCATCTGCTATAAAATGCCACAGAAAGCTTCATGTGACTTGTTGTATAACTAAAATGAAGTTGCTCTCAGCATGAACGCACACACCGACAGCCTTCAGGACAGTCATTACTGGTTGGTATCTACCAGTTTTCCCTGTGGATTGATACTTGTAGCAACTCGTAGCAGACACTGCAGGCCTTGTTCCAGCCTTGGTTTAATATCTCACCACAGAAAACACACACTGAACTCGCAAAGGCTGACCGGAGCCTCACACATTCCAGTAGATAGAAAGAGAGAGAGAGAGAGAGGTTCAACTTGGATTGGAGCCAAGACAGTTTTCCTGCTCATGTGTTTCCCCTATAAGTTAGACATGCAGTACAAGCTGGACTAGGAGCACTAAAACAACGATTTCAAATGTACTTTTACATTTGCACGCTATTTCCACAAAGCAAAACACACGTGGAAACTTTGGGATTTAGCACATAGCATGCCACACACACACACACACACACACACACACACACACACACACACATAGACATTAACACGTTTTTGCACACACCTGCTCCTCCACAGCCACATCCTGCAGGGTCGGGGCGTCCCGCGGGCCTCGGATCCAGCTCAGTATCTGGCCCATGTTGGCTGAATGTGCCTCCGAGAGTGTGCGTGTATGTGTGTGTTTTCCTGTCAGCCTCTGCCCTGTCTGTCGGCTTGCAGCATGTTTCCAGCAGGCGGGGAAGGGAACCGGGAGAGGGAGAGGAGAGGAAGGGGGAGGGCGGAGGGACTGAAGGGGGAGGCGTGGTCAGGGACTGGAGAAGGGTACGGATCAGATGTGGAAGTCACAAGAGGCCGAGCAGTAACTCTCTGGGCTATAAAGGGAAGTGAGCTGACCGTGGACTGACACCCACCTGATGCCACATCTGAGCTGCTTCCCAGAGAAACAGATACGGCTTCAACTCACACGAGGGCTCACATGCGTAAAAATACATACATGCATGCATGGTTGGATGGCCGGATGTGTAAAACTGTATTTATGGGACACATGAAGCACCCCTGGTTTAATCTGAGCCTATATCTTATCAACAGGGACACACCTGCATTTTGGAGCACACACACCATAGAGACACACACACAAACATATGTACACACAGCTTGTGCAACTACCCTTGCTGCCAAATTACCTATGAGAATAAAGGGAGGGGCTTGACTTCAGCTTTATATCTGTGTCAACAATCTTCCAAGGCAAACAGGGTTGAGCTGCAAAACTTCCAATCGTGTTCTCTATTGCAGGAACATAAGCTCCTAAAGATAATAACAGGAACTAATACTGATTACACCCTGGTTATTTCTGTTTGAGCCAAAGAAAACCTATTTTGCTGGAAGTGGACAATTCTGTGTATCAGAGGAATCTTTACAACAATGAACAAAATGCACTTAACAAACAGAAATGTAGGGAGTGTTTCAGTGAACGCATGACTAATAGGTCTCCTGAAGAACACATGGGTGTTGGCTCCAGTGATACCTTTTTGTGTAACAGATGTTTTACTTTATTTAAACAACATATCTATCTAAGTACAAAACTGGGATGAAGGGATTAGTTTCTGCTGTATGAAACAGCACATGAAAATTAAAGTCAGGTATATCCGAAAGCCATTGTTTTTGCTTTCATGTCATTTAAAGACAGTGCAAAGTACAATCCCAGCCATATCTCTGCACTTCACCTATGCGCCCCTTTGGGCAGTTCTTGGGTGGGGCCTGCAGACAATACAACCTTTGAGTGAGTCACTGTGATGGAATCAGTCTGACTGCCGAGCCTGTCCCTTGCAGGTTTTTTAATTGCACACCTCAGCAAATTAGCGAATGCACTAACTTTATGACTAATGAATAAACCTGGCCGTCACGTAACTCCTGTTTGTGCAGTCACACAGTCTGACTGGTCACTGAAGTTAGACGTGCACGTGAACTGTCCCTGGAGCATATAAAAAAGGTTTTGAGGGATATGTGCTTCGATTTGAAACTGAAATGTGAGGTGCATAGTACACTCAAGAGAACACTGACAAACTATGGCTGGATTTGTTTTTTTTTGTTTGTTTGTTTTTTTTTTTACAGGATTAAAGACAAAAAAACACAAATGAGTTACAGCTGGAATGGATGACTATATATTGCAATTAAATTAAATTAAATAGAAAAAAATACGGAAAATTTCAATTTATGGATTCCAGTTGTACTCAGTAGTTTTTAAACTCTATGGTGGCCCGCTCCAAAAGGACTGATTTGGTTTATTTAGAATGCTCAAGGATGCAGTTGTGATACGATAGGGCCCGATGGCTGCATTTGGTCCATAAATAATACTTCTCTGTGTCTTAAGCAAGCCAAAGATATCCTCATAGACATTATGATTTGATTAGGATGAATAATTGCCCCTAAAATCCACTTAAAAGTCATAGAAAAGAGGAAGAACTAAACTTATAACTTGTGTTTTTAGGTATTGGTCCGTAGGAGTTTGACAATTGTTAGTGCATCAATGGGTGGTAAATTAGAAACAAGGACTAAAGCTACTTTGTATTTCTTAAATGTACCACTTTACCAAAATGCAAACAAATATCGGCCAAAGAAATAAAAACAGCAGCCAGATTTCAGCCTCTCAGCTAAAACTGACCACATAGCAGCATTAGTGATCTGCAAAGGATGTAAGCACCCAAATAGTAATAATAACAACACTGATCATGATAATACAGGGGAAATGGGCATACGGACCACACAGGGAACAGTGCTTCGTTTCTCTCTCCTTAGAGGGCGACAGTGTCAGACTTTAAAACCTCTGCTGTCTCAGCTAATCAGCCAGTATGTTCACACAGAAATGGAATGAAGTCACACAAGTCTGTCTTTTTTTATCCATTGTGTTTTTTTACACCTGACAGCCTAAAAAACACAAACAAACCACATACAGTGCAATCGCTGCTATGTACGTTTACTAATGCTAAATGGGAAAGCTCATGCACGCACAGGCTTTTCCACATAACTCACAGCATGTCATACTCCTAGTCAGACAGACACACCTTTGGCTGTGTGAAGCTCCATCTGATCGAGCCTGTAAAACTAGCTGGTGCACCATGGGAAACCAGAGGTCTTGTTCGGTAACCTCCCAAAGAGGTATGTGAACGTTTATCACTTGTGTGCCAGGTGGCAGTGCAGCGAATACGGTTTTGTTTTTTCACCTGTGCTGAAATGATCACGTTGTAAGGAACAACTGATAGTGATACGCTCAACATATTTAATATAATCAGTGTAAATGAATGAGGACATCCTAGATGTGGTCATCAACCTGTTTGTGTAACAGAGTATGCATAGGACTATGCAGCGTATATGTAACTGGACTCCCCTGCTAAACTTGTGCTCACCTTTATATTTAGACCCATGCTTTACTTCACTCTCTACGCTCCACTGCAGATGTCTACAAACTCTGCCCATCACCACCTCAAACACTACATCACCTACACCAACCTGCTGGACGTGAAATAGATGATAGATGAACAAATAAAGAGCAGTTTGCAGATACAAAACTGTAGACTTTTACATTAAAAAGTAAACTTTACAGCTCACCTCAGAGCTGTGGTGAAAATAATCCTGTAAAGTTGTTTGTAAAGTTAACGATGAATGCAGAGTTTTAAAAAAGTGTAATGACAGTCACTCTAAATTACCTGAACCACAGGTGTTTTGATATTTGGCAGCAGGTTTTGTAAACCGGTGGGCTTTATTTATAAGATAAGATAAGATATGCCTTTATTTATCTCACAGTGGAGAAATTCACATTGTTGATAGCAGCATTAAACACAGAGATACACATATACGAGACAGAAATTATTATTATTATTTTTGTTTAGTTAACCTTTAGTTTGCCAGGTAGGTTAGTTGAGAACTGGTTCTCATTGTCAAGAACGACCTGGTTGTAAAGAGTCTGAAACTGTGAAAACAGAAAGAATTATCAGATAATTAACTTTCCAACAGTCCTTCAACTGCTCATCCGTGACATGCAGCTAGACTGACAAGTCGAAGCTTAAAATAGTTTTTACTCTTCACATTTTACTCTGAAACTGTGCAAAGATGTTATGTTTGCAATAAATACATTTTATTAAAAAAAAAAAAAAAGAAAGAAAAAAGAAAGAAAATTGCACTCCTCAGCACAACAATGATATAATTAGTGACTCAGCTACAAAAACTCGGCACTTTTCTGCTGAACTGCAGAAAAACTGCACTGCAAGATCTAAGGAGTAAAATATCCGTCTAACTGTGATACAAATGTACATATTGACTCCAGTTTTTTTTTCTTTTTCATATTTTGTGAAACAAAGAAATGTAATTGTCTCTTTTTGCAAAAAAAATTATAAATAAATAAATTGTATTTCTTATAATTATATTGCAGTAAAAAATGAGTCAAAACAAAACGGTCAGTTTGGCATTCTGAGCATCAACCGTGCAGATTTATTGCCTTTCCTCTTCAACAAAGTGATCACAAACACCTTTCTCAGGCTGCAGGTTTATAAACAAGCAGCTCTCATTTGAGGAATCCGTATTAGTGGACACAAGCAGGACTGCATTCAGCAGAGGGAGACAAACACAAACGTTTAGTGCTGGACTACATCCATACTGCAGTCCATCACTAACATGCTCTCCCCTACAGTAACGTAAATATATTACAACACACATTTCTGTACTTATGTGGCTCCGTTTTTGGGTTTAAATATTCTCATGACCACCGCAGAAGGTTATGATTGATTGGAAGAAATTCTTTAAAAATAATGTTGCAGCTATATATTTCTGTATATAACATTCAGTAGTTGGTAGAATTAGCTTGTATGCAAACAGAAAATCACAAACCAACTTTTTGTTTCAATGCATCCTGCAAGATTGTACTTGCACAATGACTCAGTGTAACAGTGAGGCGGCAGCAGGAGGAGAGGAGGTGAAGTCAGTACCTTGTCATTGTAGGACCATCTAGTAGAAGAGTAGGCTGAAGACCTGCTACCATGTTGGACTTCATGGTCGCAAGAGGTGCCTTTTCCGTACTACAAACACACACACACACACACACCAGCTTGTTATTGTAAGATACAGAGGCTTTGAGGACTGAAAGAGTGTTTGGCAGTAAATTCAATGGAACTTCTGTACAGGATGCAGTCATTTCAGCCTATTGTGTTGGTGGATTGTTCACGAATAACCTTGCATGTACAAGTCTTATCAATTTGTTACTATTCTTGCTTGTTAGCATTTTTTTGGTGAAACTGCAATGCTCCAAATTTAACTTGATAAAAGGAAAACATGCTCGGGTCAAAATGATATTTAGTGATGATTATTTATTTGAATTGAGGAGCAGTAGCAAGATATCAGACACTGCAACTGGGATTAATCCAAAGCTGCAGCCTCCCTCAGTATGAACAGTCACACGCCCTCATATATAAACACAGTGTGTGACAAACTAAGAGTAGAGCTCTTACATTCATTTACATTCATTCCAGCCTTATCTTATCAAGGCTATGCCAAGTTTTAAAGAGCATCCAGCACAACTGTTAACAGTTTCAAACTTGTTGTGCTGGTTTTCTAAAATAAAAGAATGACTGCAGCGTCTACACAGGTGCCAATCTAGGAGTTATTACAGCGTATAGCCAGAGGATAAAACAGAAGAAAGAAAGGAGGGGAGTCGGAAAATTGCAGATGTACTCACAGTAATTTCCCAGAATTTTGCATACGCCATGAGGGAGCAGGAGGCGAAAACGGTGGCGTGGAAAACGGTTCAACCCTGCACTGGCAAGATCTCTTTTTTTTTCTGTCACGTCGTCCCAGACAGTGTGCCACTCCCCGCACAATTTAGATTATCAGCATCACACACTCTGTCTGTGCTGTACAGTCATTGTTCTGACTCGCTGAGAAAGCCCATAAGTCAGTTTTCGAGCGAGATCTTGGGCTCTTCCGCATAATTCAGAAATAATCAAGTTTAACCAACCACCGCCTCATGCCCATCAGTGCGCGCGTACCCACACACACACAAACACACACGCACACATTTATTTCCAAAGAAGGATCTTATGCTAATCTGCTATTGTGACACCTTCCAGCTGAATGGTCAGAAGCGAACATGACAACTTCATTACGCACGACCGCAGAGAGCTTTTCAGCCACTGGCAACGAATCGTATTGATTGATGCTGAACTAAATCAACAACTCGTTGCGACTCTCTGCAGCAGATTAGAACTAATTACACGTTGGATACAAATACGTCCAGTCAGTGCGGCCATCCCTGCAAACATTCGTGAAACATGTGCTCTCAATTATGTACAGAAAATACATGAACACACACAAGAAAGTGAATCACATCTCATCTAATCCAATCGTATTTTCTCAGTTGCCAAATCTGCATCTTGCTGTGCGTAAAATGGCATTTTTACGCACGATCTCCAAATTGTGCGATCCATTTCCCCCTGTTATGCAAACCAAGAAAAGAAACAAACTTACCCCAGTTGCCTCTTTTGAGGTTTTGTGACCACGGCTTTTCTTCCTTTGTGGCATCTTTACAACGCGAACTTTTTAAGCTCCCTTTGCGCACTCGGTCTTCTTTCTTTCGGAAATCTGCAAGCTGATCGTCTTGTTGGGTTTAATTAAGTTGCCCCTCCCGCTGAGAAAACTTTCGCGTGCGATGAATGATCAAAGTAGTTGGCATAAAAATACTTGAGAGGGTGCGTATGTGAATGTGTTTAGGATGGATCTGCAGCATGTAAGATCATGTTCATTATCAGACGTGTGATGTTTACTGTGGCTGTAGGTCACTTAAGTACACGTTTGACACAAGTTTGATCGTCTCAACTGGAAGAGGAAGGATTGATCAGTGTGGGAAAAAAAAAAAAAAAAAAGCTCCATATCACTTGAATATACTGAGTGATTAGGTTAGATTTGGTTACATTAAAGTATCTACGTACTTGAAGCATATATGCAACACTTTTACTGTCTATTTATTTCCTGATGGGACCCGCCCCAAGCTAGAGGAAGAGTTGACTCACTGCTGCTTTTTCCCTCTCAGTGAGGTGGTTTGTTTCAGAAGCACAATGCTGCTCTCTGATGGATTAAACTGGGACTGTCTGAGTCAACACAGTTAAGCCCCAGATCATTCACATCCATGCCAAATGTGGATTTACAGTGAATTTTTAACTGACCAAAAGATTTCTCTTGGCTGGAAATGATGCAAACAAATCAGAAAAGATGATAAGACGTTGTGTTGGAGATGTTAATGATACAGTTAAACTATTTATATGGACTTTTTATTACTTTACTTTAAATAATAATAATAATAATAAACTGGATTTCTATAGCCACTTTCAAAACTGGAGTTACAAAATGCTTTACAAAGTGTTTAAAAAGCAACAAGAAAACATTAAAATAAGCTGATGCTTTTTTTTTCTTTTTTTTTTAGAAGTAGGCAGTAATATAATGTTAGATAGGCCGCAAAATATTTTACAAATACTCATCTACAGAGTTGAGTTTTTAAAAGTTCTCTGAATTGAGGACCTGTGTGACTTGTTCTGACAGTAAAGGGGAGGGTGGGCCACAAGCTAAAACAGTAAAAGCAGGATCCCTCTTTGTTTTAAGCTGGACCGAGGAATTTAACAGTAATTAATTCTCAAATCTAAGAGATCTATGTGCAGAGTCGGGGATTAAAAGTCCATAGAGAGATTTAAAAGTAATCACAAGTATCCCTGAATTTAATAATTAAAGAGGAGCCGCGGTTATTCAGTTCGCATCTGAATAAAGTGCTTCCTGCAGCAAGTGTTTTAGAGTAATCTTTTTGCTGAGTTTGAAAAAAACTGTAAGCTGGAAAATAAAACCGGTGAGACAGACAAAGCTGCAAAGCAAGAGGACTCACATGTGACTTCAAAATGGGTTTTTTAATTTAACCCCCAAAATGACAAAGCTACAAAAACAAATACTGAATTCTGGGTCCATGAAAGAGTTCAAATAAACATAAGTAAGGCTATTAGCAGCAAAACAACCCAATAAACCAGCACCACTGATCAAACAAAACTCACAACTGACCTGAGACTCTATGAACAAAGGGGATGTACAAACTGGCTGATCAGACCAAGTGGACACAACAACATCAACACCTAAACTAACTACAAAGAACATTAAACAGCTTGTCTACCTAATCAAAAGGAATTGCATCAAATAAACCCAAAAATATATCTAAATACTCAACACAAGTAAAATGTATGATGGAATATTTAAATCAAATAAACTCTGCCCTTCTCTTCATAGAAATACTGCAGCATATATGTGTACATATTATTAATCAACTTCAAAGCATTGGTTTTCCCAAACAGTTCCTCCACTTGCTAACAGGTTTTCTGCATGTCTCCACTGGGATTTAGTTCCTCTTTGTGATCATCTCCAGGTCTTTGAGGATAAAAAGCTTCTTTGCCAACACTCTGATCTTAAGATTTAGGTTTCAACTCTGGTTGCTCCAAAATGTTCCTGCTGTTTTCTGTTAACTATTTCTTCACCACTTTGACTGTATGTTTCAGCTGATTGTCTCATTAGAAGGTCCAATGCTTTTTCTGCAGAATTCTTGGCCTGTTATCCTGATAATCAACATGGACAACATTTTTCCAAGTATCCACAGATACTACGGATAATTGGCTGATAAAGTGTTACAGTCACCATGCTTGGCTGTGGGGATGATGTTCTTAGGGTTAAATGTTTATTCCTCCTTTTGCAAAACAGAAGCAGCATCCCTCTCTCCACTAATTTTTTATTTTTTTTTTAGCTCATCCAACCACAGAATTAATGACAAAGCTGTCTTCTTTATCAGAGTGAAGGTTAGGTGACCTTTGTGTGCCTGTCTTGGCGACGAGGATCATCCATGGAAACCGTTATAATTGTTTCAGACCTGCTGAAGCGGCTGCCTTAAGATGTTGCCACCAGAACTGCTCAGATTCATCAACATGCTGCTGATTCCTGGATTCTTCTTGACCTCTCATGCTTCCATTCTTTCCAACGCACGGGTCACTTTTGTCCTCATACCACCACCTGTCTTAGAATGCCAGAGAATACTATGCACTTTTCTGGGACCAGTTGGAAAGGAAAGAGACTGCATTTAAATTTGTAGAAATAAATTTGGACAAAGTGAATCTAGTAAAGTTGTTAAATATGCATAGTAAGTGGTGGAAATGTAGCCGTGTCAAGGTCTTACCATATATTGGCACCTGTTAATGTCTAGCCAGAAGAAACATATTGAGCAAATATAAATTCATTATAAATCCAAATTTGGCATGGCTGTGGAATACATTTGGGCTTAACTGTAGCAGCTGCAGGCTTGAACACAGCTGTGCTATGAGGCATTTGCTCATTCTGTTTAGTGATGAAATTAGTTGGATGATTTTTTTTTTTTGCTATATACTTACATAGATATTGTGGAATAAATTGTCTGATATGTTTCTCCATAAGATACTTCTTTCTTAACAGAATTAAATGTGTCTTTTAAAGCTTTATCATTCCACTCTCACCTCAAGTTAATCTCACTGTGAAGAGCCAGACAGGAGATATGTGGTAGGAGACAGGGGGTAAGACAAACTGCCTGGAATCGAATCAGGGACGTTGCTGGTATGTGTATGCGCTGCAACAATTCAGCCTCCAGGGTGCTCTCATCTCAAACTTTTTGAAACACTGGGACATTGTGGAGTGAAAACAAAGCTGAAATACCCCTAAAACGGTCAACTGAACAAAGTGTTAATGTGTCAGACTCCCTGCAGCTAAAAACGCTTTACAAATTTGCTTTGGATAAATTAAAAGATGAGACGATCCATCTGTATTCCAAATGTGATGAATAATTCTTAATAAAACACTGCATCTTTAAATTGCACAGCTGAATACTGATTCTGTTTACTATAAACACATATCTGTCTTTGACAACTGTGATAAGCTAAAATGATTAAATTCAAAGTTTCTGTTCAGTCGATATGTGTGGATGTAAAGTTGATTCTATAGTTAGTTTCACTTTAACATTTGCTTGCATGATGCTTTCTGGCTTGTTAGGTATTTAATTACATTTAATCCAAACATACAGGTTAGAATCACAGACTGATTTCAATCTGTTGTGTCACATTTATGTCTGGCCTGTTTATTTATTTCTTTGATTTTGTGCATGAAGAATGGTATGTATGAAGATGTCAATTGCAAAATATTGAGAAACTTTCAGAACAAAGGATTTGACTGACATGTAGACACAACATTGTGTTGTGCTGTAATGACAACAAAGCTACTAGAAGAGAAATTTAAAAAAAAGAAATGTCTAATCTGCCTCCGGTGCACACTGAAGCTTTTCCATATTAATTTTCTATATGTTTTTCAGTATCAGACGATCCTGATGTCACTGGTTCGGGTGAGTCGAGTAATGACTTCTGCAGCGTCTGATGCTTTTCAGAGACAAAGTCCATCTGACCTCCACGCTCCCCGGTATCAGTATAAACCTGCCACATCTAGAAACGAATGAACCGTCTCTCTGCAGAGTGATTCCAATCTGTCTGACACCAGAACGACATTTTCCAGCTTCCTCTGATAACAGATGACATTTGGTGATAGGAACGAGTGAAACAGATGCTTGAGCTTAGATTTTTGTTTCCGGTGTTGTTGTGAAACATCATACAGTAACATACTAAATAGACATTGCTGTGTTTCAGCTTCTGCTGCTTCTTTACTGTAATACGTAAATTCTTAATGAGTGCTGGTGGAGAGACAGACATCAGTCAGTCATCAATCACTAGAAGTGCAATAAATATGTGTTGATTAATGGTATTGGAATTTATTGCAAATTAAAGCAAGCAAAAAAAAAATCTCAACTAGAGGTGGTCAGATCAAATCTTGTTTCACAGTTGTGCAGCATCTAGATAAAGGAATTATCACTCAAAAACCCCAGCTGTAACATGATCACAAA